TCCTGCAAGAGGTGACAACTGCTCTTATTCCCTTACTAATGAAAAAGCAAGCAGGCACAGATGGTCCATCTCAGTCTGATGCGGCCACAGAGGGAGCTTATATGTGCTTATATGTGGGTGTGAGATAAACTAATGTCAGCCACCAGACTTTATGGTTCCCTGCCCTTTATACTGAAAGTGAAATTTCCTCCTCAATTGGCAGCTTACTAGCTGCTGCATTGTCCCACTGCTTTCAGATATGCATTCCTGCTGGACTTCTGCTGGACCCCTGTCAGCAGTCCAATCTAAACAATCATCCATTAAAATCTCTGATGGTAAAGACTCGCATCTGCACTTGTGGTGGCACAGCGGTGAGAGGAATCTGTTCATCTGTCAAGCCCGTGTTAGTCATCAGTGGATCAAGAGAGCTGTCTTTGATTAGACAAAAATCAATGTGTGCACTGCGGAGGCTTTTCTCTGTGGGCTCATGGTGTATCAAAAAGAATCATATCTGACAAAGAAATCTACAGCAGCAAAATATATCTCCGCTTGGACCTCTCTTCCTTTTTTTTTTGCACTTTATCACATAACACTGAACTGTCAGAGAGTCAAAAAGCCAGCTCCTGCCTCAGACAATCTCAAGTAAACACAACTCTCAAGTCAAGGCATTTTAAGTGTCTCCGGATCTTCTCTGTCTTTGTGTCATCAAAATATGGCATGTGGACATTGCTGGGGAAAAGTCAAAGAAAAAGATATGTGACAACTATAAACACCTCAAGCAAATGCAGCTGTCTGAATAGATGACCAGCCTTGGCACTGAGCTCTGCTGACGTAGCTGTAAAGGAAGCTGGCAGCAAAGCACTGGGAGGTTCCAGAAAAACTGAAGTCTCTGCATGTAAGAAATGAAAGACCTGACAGCAGATAGGGTCAGAGGTGTTTAAAAGAGAAAAGAGGGGGTATAGGATAAAGGGATGAGGAGAACAGGAGTTGATAAGCTCTGGGGAAACAGGGGCAGAGAGAAGACTGAGGAGAATCCAGAGGTCCCATGACTCACTGGCACTTCTGCCAGACTGGACTTTGACACACAAGCTGCTGTATGTAACACAGCTCACATACAAATGACTGGTCTGCAAACACAAACACACACACACACACAT